TGTGTGTATGCATATATATAGTAGTAGTGTGTTTTCTATAGCGAGGATATATTGTATGGTGACCAGTGGTCAGATGAAGACAAAGAAAATGTGTCCACTGGTCACTTCATAGAGAAAACAACTCTTATACAGCAGCAGCAGCAGCAGCAGCAGCAGCAGCAGCAGCAACAAATATATTCTTTTTGCAGTTTTGATTCATATATAAACCCTAAACCCTAAACCCTAAACCCTAAACCCTAAACCCTCATGCTTCTGTGTTGCCCGGGTCAAACCAACGGCGCCTCAACAGCAGCATCGGTTGTGTTGCTTTTTTACAGCAGCAGAGCAGCAGCAGCAACTTGATGCTGCTGCTCAGCAGCAGCAGCAGCACTAATAAACTGCTGCTAAGCTGCTGCGACAGAAGCAGTTGCTGCTGCTGCTGCTGCAGCAGCAGCAGCAGCAGCTCCTGCTGCAACAGCAGCAGATGGCCATGCAGAACCACCCAAGCAGTGTCTCCTCCCTAGAGGCAGCAGCTTAGTCCTCAGCAGCAGCAGCAGCAGCAGCAGCAGCAGCAGCAGCAGCGGAAATGTCTTTTCTAGACATGCAGCAGCAGCGCCTGCTGCTGCTGCCGCTGCTGCTGCTGCTGCTGCTGCTGCTGCTCAACGACACTGCTGCAAGGCCAGCAAGAGGGTCCTTCTCGTCTACTACGAGCCGCCGCAGCCCAGCAGCAGCAGCAGCAGCAGCACCTGCAGCAGCAGCAGCAGCAGCAGCACCAGCAGCAGCAGCAGCAGCAGCAGATCCTCTATTTGACTTGGACGTTGTTCCTGCAGCAGTGCATGCATTCTTGCAGCAAGAAACCAGCAGCAGCAACAGCAGCAGCAGCAGCAGCAGCAGCACGAAGCTCGTTGCTGCTGTTGGCAGCAACAGCGCAGCAACGCAGCAGGCAGTTTACTCTCTAATGTATGAGGAGCTGGAGCACCGGCTGCGGCGGCTGCAGCGCATGCAGCAGCAGCAGCAGCCGCAGCACCAGCTGCTGCTGCTGCAGCAGCAGCAAGAGGAACAGGCTGGCTCTCTCGCTGCTATGAAAAAGCTGCGAAATGCCATGGCTCGACTGTCTCTGCTGCAGCAGCAACATCAGCAGCAGCAGCTGCAGCAGCAGCAGCAGCAGCAGCAGCAGCAGCAGCAGCAGCAGCAGGATGGTGGTGACGCTACCTCTTCGACGCCTGAGGCAGCAGACACTGCAGCAAACCAACAGCAGCAGCAGCAGCAGCAGGAAGAGCAGCAGCAGCAGCAGCAGCAGCAGCAGCAGCACGGAGGCATGGTATTCTTGCGGCAGTATCTATCATGGGCAACAGCGGACGAGGCTCTGAAGGCAGCACAAGAGCAGCAGCAGCAGCAGCAGCAGCAGCAGGAGCAATCTGCTTCATCATCTGCAGCAGCAGCAGCAGCAGCAGCAGCAGCAGCAACAGCAGCAACAGATGAATCTCCTCATCACCACTTCCCTGGGGTGCGAGAGGCTCGTTTGACAGCAGCAGCCGAAGCAGCAGAGAGCAGCAGCAGCAGCAGCAAAGGCCGCAGCAGCAGCAGCAGCAGCAGCAGCAGGAGCAGCAAAGTAGCGGGGCTGCCTGCTGCGCATGCACGCAGAGACGTGGAGACAGTACTCGCGCAGACAGCACTGAGCTCTGCTTTCTCTGGGGACCGCATGCGGAGACAGTCTCTGCTGCTGCGGGGAAAAGGAGACACATATACAGCGGGTTATGTTCTAGCTGACTCTTGTATTGCTGTTGACTTCAGAAACACCATACAACGAGCTGCTGCTGCTGCTGCTGCTGCTGCTGCTGCTGCTGCTGGTGATGGTGGTGATGGCGGTGGTGGTGGTGGTGGTGATGATGCAGCAGCAGCAGACGGAGCAGCATATGTGGAGACACGTGCTGGTTCCGGGGCCACAGCAGCAGCAGCAGCAGCAGCAGCAGCAGCAGCAGCAGCAGCAGCAGCAGGTAGACTTGGGGGGAGATATAACAGCAAAGACAACAGCTGCAGCTGTCCCTCTGGCTGGCTGCCCTGCACGCGGGACGAGGCCCTCAGCTCCTCGTATGGATGGAGACAGACACTGCAGCGTGTGTGTGCTGAGCAGCAGCAGCAGCAGCAGCAGCAGCAGGAGCAGCAGGAGCAGCAGGAGCAGCAGCAGGATCTGCAGCAGCAGCTGCAGCAGGATCTGCAGCAGCTGCAGCAGCAGCAGCAGCAGCAGCAGCAGCAGCAAATAGTTATAAGAGCTTATACAAAGGGACTATACTCATACGACTGCAGCGGCAACCAACTGTCTCCTCCCGCTGCAGCAGAAGGAGACAGCACCTGTGCTGCTGCTGCTCTTGTATTATGTAGAGAAGAACAACCACGATGCGGACTCAGTGAATGGTGCTAAACCCTAAACCCTAAACCCTAAACCCTAAACCCTTACGGTGACGGGCAGCAATAGACGGAGACATAGACACACAGACAGAGAGACAAGGAGAGAGACAGAGAAAAAGAGAGAAAAAAAGAAACAGAGAAAAGAGAGACAGGGAGACAGAGACAGAGAGAGAGAGACAGAGACACCGAAGCGGAGACAGCGTGTCAAACCCTAAACCCTAAACCCTAAACCCTAATAAACCCTCAACAGTTTCTTAAAAGAAAGCGGTGGCTTCCTCTGTGTAAAACAAAACGTTCAGGGTTTAGGGTTCAGGATTGACAATCCACAGTTTAGGGTTTAGGGTTTAGGGTTTAGGGTTTAGGGTTTAGGGTTTAGGGTTTAGGGTTTGTGTTCAGGTCTGAGTGGTCGAGCTGCTCAGCCCCTTGCGGGTCAGGCCAGGCCTACCGCTTTCGGCGTCCCCTTGTAGCTATCGACAGAGAGGAGACAGAGACAGAGACAGAGACAGAGACAGAGACAGAACAAAAAGAAAAAGAAAAAGAACAGAAAGAAAAAGAAAAAGAAAAAAAAGAAAAAGAAGAAAAAGAAAAAGAAAAGGAGACAGAAGAAAAAGAAAAAGAAAAGGAGACAGAAGAAAAGGTGTCTCCTTTGGTGTCTCCTTTTGTCTCCCCCGAGGCTTGTTTGCCTTATCACCTGGAGGAAAGGAGACACTGCCAGGCGGAGACACCTTGCCCCTCAGCTGTACACCCAGAACCATGCTTCTGGGCTTATGCAGACAAACGCTCGTCAGCTGCTGCTGCTCCTGCTGCTGCTGCTGCTGCTGCTGCTGCTGCTGCTGTGGCTGCTGCTGATGCTGCTGCTGCTGTGGCTGCTGCTCTTGTTGCTGCTGTTGCTGGTGCTGGTGTTGCTGTTGCTGGTGCTGTGACTGCTGCTGCTGTTGCTGTTACTGCTGCTGCTGTGACTGCTGCTGCTGCTCTTGTTGCTGCTGTTCCTGCTGCTGCTGATCTTGTTGCTGCTGCTGCTGCCTTTGTTGCTGCTGCTGGCAGTGCTGCTGTTCCCATTTCTGCTGCTGGCGCTGCTGCGGTTGCTGTTGGTGCTTGCGAGTCCTTGGGGGCTGCTGCTGCTACCTGCTGCTGCTGCTGTTGCTGCTGCTGCTGCTACTGCTGCTTGCAATGGGTGGTATCTTGCCGCCCTGAAGAGGGTTGTGCTGTGGTTTAGCATTTGCTGCTGTTGCTGCTGCTGCTGCTGCTGCTGCTGCTGTTGCTGTTGCTGCTGCAGGCCGCACACAGTGTACACGAAGGGGACATGTCTCTGCACGCTGGGGGAGGATGAGGAGGGAGAGGAGACATCTGCTGCTACATCTACATCTGCTGCTGCTGCTGCTGCTGCTGCTGCTGCTGGTGCTGCTGCTGCTGGTGAGGGGGAGACAGCAGCAGCAGCAACTCTGGTTGCATGCAGCGCAGCAGAAGCAGCATTTAGCTTCTCCCAGTGGCGGCAGCAGATGGTTCAGTACTGTCTCTCCGCCCTCAAACTAGCAAACAAACCACACCAGGTCCGTCTGCTGCTGCTGCTGCCGCTGCTGCTGCTGCCGCTGCTGCTGCTGCTGCTGCTTGTGGTTGTGCTGGTGGTGTTGGTGGTGGTGGTGGTGGTGCTGCTGCTGCTGCTGCTGCTTGTGGTGGTGGTGGTGGTGGTGCTGCTGCTGCTGGTGCTGGTTGTGGTGGTGGTGGTGGTGGTGCTGCTGCTGCTGCTTGTGATGCTGCTGCTGCTGCTGCTTCTTTTATCCTTTGAGGGAGCGATGGCAGCCTTCTCCGCTATTGCTGCTGCTGCTGTTGCTATTTCTGTTATTGCTGCTCTTGCTGCTGCTGCTGCTGCTGCTGCTGCTGCTGCTGCTGCTGCAGATGATACGATACAGCAGCCGCGCCGGGAAGACACGTGTTGGCCTGGCTTCTCTCGGCTACCTAGACTGCTCAGGTACCCCTTCTTCTCTCTCTTTTTTTTGTCTCCTTTCTTTATTTTTTTTTTATTTTTTTTGTCTCTTGTTTATCTTTTCTTTACTTTTTTTTGTCTCCTTTCTTTATCTTCTCTGTGTTTTTTTTGTCTCCTTTGTTTATCTTTTCTTTGTTTTTTTGTCTGCTTTCTTTATCTTTTGTTTATTCTTTTTGTCTCCTTTGTTTATATTTTCTGTGTTTTTTTGTTTCCTTTATTCATTTGTCTGTCTCCTTTATTTATTTTTTGCTCATTTCTTTTTCTGTCTCCTTTTTTGTTTATTTGTTTATCTCTTTTGTTTATCTTTTTTTTATATCTCTTTCTGTCTCCTTTGTTTGTTTTCTCTGTATTTGATTGTCTCCTTTCTTTGTTGTCTCTCTGTTTGTTTTTTGTCTCCTTTCTTTGTCTTTTTCTTTATTTGTCTGTCTCCTGTCTTTGTCTTTTTCTTTTTTTGTTTTTTCTTTTTTTGTTTGTCTCTTGTCTTTGTCTTTCTTTTTATTTGTTTGTCTCCTGTCTTTGTCTTTTTCTTTCTTTTTATTTTTATTTATCTTTTTTTGTCTCCTTTTGTTGCTGTGTCTTTGTTACCTTCTTTATATCCCCAGTCTGTCTCCTTTTCATTTGTCTCCTCTGTATCTGTCTCCTTTCTCCTATCTATATCTCCTTTTCTGCTGCTGCTGCTGCTGCTGCTGCCGCTACTGCTGCTGCTGCTGCTGTTGCTGCTGTTGCTGCTGTTGCTGCTGTTGCTGCTGCAGCTGCTGTCCTTGT